ATTAGCTTTAGAGCAGTGATTCTCAAAATGTGGTCCCCAGCCCACGAGCTTGATAGACATACAAGTTCTCAGATTTCACCCAAGCCCCACAATCCAAAAACTCAGCACTTTTTAACAGTCTGCTAAACCAGCCCCTACGGTGATACTCATGCATAGCCTGGTCAGAATACTATTGAGTATAGATCAGTAGGCAGGCATCTAAGTTATTGTCCAATAATCTTTGTTGCCAATTAGGAAGTTGACATGTTGAGCCCCTTGATGTTTCCAGGGCAACCTGATAGAGTAAATCTGTATGTTGTGCCTTATTACCCAATTGTCAGGCAAGTGTAAGATTAGCCTGATTGTACTAATGCTCGAACAATAGATTTCACTACATTTGGAGATTTACCCAGACTCTAATTTGTCACAGTTGCTTTTTATTTTTTTGCAGAGATAATTTTAATCTACTCTATAATCAGGTTTAATTCACCACTAACCACAGCATTCAACTAGTAAAAAGTAGAAAAACCAGCCACCCTAACCAAAAGGACTTCTCCCAGTTTAACAGTTTTCTGAATTATCTGCCAGGATTTTCATCTCCAGTCACATCCGAGTCCTCATTTTTTGCCTCATTTTAGAATGGCTCTAAAGTGAGCCTTGTAATATAAGGATTGAAATAGCAGGGGGCAGAAATGGAAACAAATGCACAATAGCCATTCCTCAAATGAGCACTGCAATGCTCTCCACAGGCCTGCCATCAGCAGCTCCTAAACCCAGGCCCTGACCCGAGGTGTCCTCGTCCAGTTCCCCAGAGCCCCGAGTGGAAAAGAGCAAAGATTCGCAGATTACACTTTCCCTTGAAAGTTAAGGAATCTGATTTTAGTCCAAGGATAATAGTTTGTGCCTCATGTCCTGACATAATTACTAATAATAAGACAAAAAGATTGTCTTAGATTAAATAATAAAAGAGTCAAACTACCAAAAATCTACCATAACTCTTAAATACATGTTTGCCTATCCTTAAGCCTTTTTATAAGTGAAAAGAGAAAAAATCTTTAGAGGGGAATAGGAGGTGGTGCCACTGGGCAAATGTTCTGAGCATTTGGGGCCCTCGAAGGAGGGAAATGGACAAGTGGGTTAATTCCAGAGCAGAAGAAAAATGGTGTCTGAGAGTAGGCTAGGAGCTTTATATTGATAGAAATTGCAGTCCTCAACAGCCCTCTCATACCCCTGCAGTTCCCACTTTTATTTCTCATCCATCCTTCCCTCTACTGTCCTGTCAGGGCCCCCTCTACAGGTCACTGAGACTTAGCACTTAGTGGACTTTAAAGTAAACCCTTTTCTGAGAATATACTTGGTGTCAGGCTAAGAAAAATGTGACTGTGTTGCTTTGTGAAGGACATCTTTTAAAACTGTTCAAATAGGCTTCAGGGTATTACTAGAAATTCAAGTCTAAAAACCAGGCTTAAGCTGAAAATTTGTGCTAGTTCAAGTGATCTGCATACAATGTGTCTCATTAACTAAATGACCTTCAAAAGTATTTTACCTGCATATGCACACCCGGGCAAGGACACATATACAAAATCAGCTTCCTCTCTACACTCCTCTGCTGTACACATTCAGAAGACTCTGAGAGGCAACTGACTCATATGATCATGGAAATTGGCAGAGATGCAGATACAAGAATTTAGATGCATGCCCTTACAATACCCAATGTTGGAAGCTTTTGACTCCTCATTTTACACTGTCAGTATTATGTTCTTATATCTCACCTGGTTACTCTTAAACATGCACTCTGACAGAGTTTGATCAATAACCGGTCTCAATTTCCCCACTTCCTGCCCAAATCAATTTATATGATCCCTTTGGAGAAAAGGGAACATAAGCAAAGTTGGTCCTGTGGTTTAACTTACCTCAACCTATGGCATGCTGAAAGAAAGAGCCAATTGCTTAGATACCATTGATTCAGTTTTTTTGTGCACCTGTGAATTAATAAATGACAGTGCTTTGTCTAAGTAATCACTGTATCATTGATTACTCCTGACAGGCTAATTGATGTATATTTACTAAAAGATGGAATACATTGATTTCCAGAAAATGTAAACTCAACACTAAAAAATGGTATATATGTATTAAGTACACAGAATATTAAATTATGTATTCATTCCCATCTTACAGTTCCATAAAAGAACTTCAAGGTTTAGGTCTCTAAGACAGACAGTAAATAAATACACTAAAAATAATTCTGTTCTTAGTAAATTTTTTACAAATCTATTTTGTAGATGTTAACTAGGGTTATTTATGGAAAAGGCTGCTCTGTTTATATGAAGCCCTTTGTGGTATTACCTTAGTTTGCCTTCAGAAACTGTGGATATATTTCTCACCCATTCTTACCATATTTTTTGCTTACCTCCCAAAAATTACCCTGGCCTTAGACTTCTACTCTACTCCAAGCCTAGGTGAAAAACAGAGATTGAGTAACTTTGCCTGACACTTTCAGACTAAGAAAATTAGTGAATGAAAGGGCCCTTTGTATGTTTAAGCTTACACTTCTCAAAAAAATAATCATTGAAAAGATCAACCTAATACTTTTAGTTTTCAAATATCAATAAACTTTAATATGTACTTGTGTTAATATTCTATCCATATAGTGATTAAATAATTGTTAGTAATGATGAAATTGAAAAATATATGCTTAGAAATACTTATCATTCAAAATGAATGTTTTCAGTACTTGTGCTGTCCTTTTTTGGAAAAAAGTTTAAGAAAATAATTTTGTAATAAATAGATAAATGCTTTTAAATGATATTCACCACCCAGTTACTTAGAGATGTTAGCACAAAACTATCTTTCTCACTCCCGCCACTGAAATTTAGCTATTTGTAAACTTGGGAGTTCCTATTTGGTTGCAATAATGAGGATTTATGTGAAAGAATTACACATTAGTTCACCTACAAAGCAACTTAACCATCCAAAGGCAAGAAAAGAACTAGTGCATACATGTGCTCATATAAAATATATACTAAGAATAAGACTTAGGGAAGTGCTTTTCAAATTTTAGCAAGCATAATAATTAACTGGAGTGGTTTTAAAAGTTCAGATCAAGACTCCCATCCCCAGAGATTCTAAACTGTTAAGTCTAAAAGGATGTGCAAAAATATTCAAGTTAAAACCCAATCCCATCATCAGTGTAAACCCTCTTTGATAAACATCAACTCAAGATAACAGATGCCTTTATAATTGTATCTGAAACCACAGAATCATCAGATAAAATGCCAATCTTAGATCATCTTTCAGATACATTTTATTGCTTTGCTAGAGTATCAAAATAAGTAGATAGCTCTTGAAGGTCTACTGATAAAAGTTAAGATTTATTTTTTCAGGTACCATGTCTACATTGTGCTCATTAGCAATTGGTGCACAACTTTTAGAATTCATTAATGCTTAGTGAGATGGCATTGGTACATGCCACCTTGATGGGATTGAATTGGAATCCCCTGGTATGTTTCTAACTCTACCGTTTGAGGTAAGTCAGCTTGAGCGTGTCCCGAATTGCACATCTCTTCCCTCTCTTATTCCCAGTCTCATATTTAACAGCGATCACTTTTCAGCTAAGTTTCAGCACTTAAAAAGAATTCTGTATTGATTACAGTATTCAACCAAAAGTATTAAGTAGAACAAACAAACAAAATACTAAGAGGGTAACATATCAAGTTGCTCATCAACAGTCAGGGTGAGGGCTGATCAAGTCACCGTTTCTCATAGTGTTCATTTCACTTTAACAGGTTTCCTTTTTGGTGCTCAGTTAGTTGTCACCTATCAAGGAGAACAAGTGGTATTTGTCCCTTTGGGATGGGCTTATTTCACTCAACATAATGTTTTCCAACAGGGATCACTTTTCAGTTAAAATATAAACACCTAAGAATAATTGTGTGTTAATTGCAGAGTTCAACCAATGGTATTAGAACAAAAAAAATACTAAAATGGATAAAGTATTACATTGTGCATCAACCGTCAGGACAAGAGCTGTGATCAATTTCTGTTCACAATTGATCATAATGATAGGACTAAGAACCAAAGGGATCACATAAACAAGAATAGTGTCTGCAAATACTAGCTGATAGAATAAAAAAGGGAGAGAATGATCCAACATGGGAAGTGAGATACACAGCAGACCCATAGAATGGCAAATGTCCTAAACAGCACTCTGGCCTCAGAATCAGCCCTTAAGGCATGCGGATCCAGCTGAAAAGCCCATGAGAGTATTTCAGGCATGGAAAGCCAAGACACTCTGGCAAAAAAAAAAAAAAAAAAAAACCCTAAATGAAAGATCTCCGCGAGTGAGATCCCAGTGGAAAGAACGGGTCATCAAAGAAGGAGGTACCTTTCTCTGAAGGGAGGAGAGAACTTCCACTTTGACCATGGCCTTGTCTAAAAATTATCAGAGTCAGTGAACTCAGGGGGCTTCCATAGCCTTGGCAGCTCATGACAAGAGCCTAGGTTGATTACTGATGCCACAAACAAGAGTGTCAATTTGTTAACTCAACAACAGGAGTCACTGTGCACTTACTCCTCATGTTGGATCTTTGTCCTTAGTGTGCTGTACATTGAGATTTAATGCTATAACTAGCACTCAAACAGTATTTTTCACTTTATGTTTCTGTGTGGGAGCAAACTGTTGAAATCTTTACTTAATGTATGCTAAATTGATCTTCTGTATATAAAGAGAAACGAAAATGAATCTTGATGTGAATGGAAGGGGAGAGGGAGTGGGAAAGGGGAGGGTTGCAGGTGGGAGGTTCGTTATGGGGGGGAAGCCATTGTAATCCATAAGCTGTACTTTGGAGATTTATATTCATTAAATAAAAGTTAAAAAAAAAAGAATTCATTAATGCTTAAAAATAATGTGGACTTGGAAATGTTTTTAGTATTTTGTTCATTTTTACTATCTTTGATGTTGCCACTTAATGTTATATTAAAATAGAATCACAGCTTTTATCCATTTTTTCTTTTGTTTGAAGGGAAGACGAGGAAAACCAGGACCTCCAGGAAAACCGGGACCCCCAGGACCACCTGTGAGTAAACCATAGGATGACTGTCCCTTTGGAGTGACCCTCTTTATTTCTATGTGTTTACTCAAGGTTTACTTTACTCCCCTGTGAATAATCACTTTATTCTTTCTACTGTTTAAATGAGGATTTCAGTACCTGGGTGAGTAATTTGTTTTTCATAAACCATACCCTCACTACTGCAAACCAAGTGAGAAGGGAGGCCAGTAGCTGTCCATACAGTTTACCCACTTCTTTATTACATGGTTAGGAATAAGTGCACTGCCTCCCTGGATATCCCTAAACCAGGTGTCCAAATAGATGAGTCCTGTTTTGAATCTATATGACCTCCATTTCCTGATTACTTTTTTTTTAAGATTGATTTTTTATTTATTTGAAAGGCAGAGTTACAGAAATAGATCTCTCTCCTGCTTGTTTACTCCCCAAATGGCTGCAATGGCCAGGGTTGTGCCAGGCTGAAGCCAGGGGCCCAGATCTGCTTCTGATCCTCCCACATGAGTGCAGGGGCCCAAGCACTTGGGCCATCTTCTGCTGCTTTACCAGGCACATTAACAGGGAGCTGGACTGGAAGTGGAGCAGCTGGGTCTTTAACTGGTGCCTATATGGGATGCTGACATCACAGGTGACAGCTTAACCTGCTATGCCACAACATTTCCTTGATTTCTTAACATGAAGGCTAGTAGTAAGACAGATATCTGGAGATGCGCATTTACTTTCTTGATTCAAATGGTTTTGTTAGTAGAATTTCACACTATGTTGTTGACAAGATCTTCTAACCAGTTATCTTACTACATTATTCCAAGTTTCTAGAAAAAAAAAATTCCATTTGTTTGTGCTTCTGTTAAATCCTTAACCCACCAGAATCTTGTTTGCATTCAAGCTACTGCACTGACACTACACTCTCTATGTCACCAATAGTGTCTTAATCACCAAATTCCCTAGGCACTTTCCAGGTTTCATCTTACTTTACTACAACACAGAAATTTGCACAATTGAATGGTCTCACCTTGAAATTCTCTGTGTTCTTAGTATTCTGACATGGATTTTTTTCCTAACTCTAGGAGCATTCTTTTTATCCCCTTCATCAACAACTTCCCGTCAATCTGCATTTGTATTTTGGATGGACTGAAGAATCCCAGTCTTTTTCATTCCTGCTGGGTTATACATCCCATTTCTTGTCAGTCTCTACTTGGAGGTCTCCTATGTACTAAAAAATTAGCAGGCCCAAAACTAAGTTCTAAAAATAACACTAGATATTTTTTCTCTCCTTCATCCTCCTTATCAACCTAGAATATGTCAATGTTACATCCAAACAGCTCATGAATCCCTCTCTTCCTCTCCATCCTTCTCACCAGTGCCTTAGTGAAGTTATGTCTATATGTTTAAAGCCATCTAAAAGTTGTTCTCCTTCCTATACCTTCTCCAAGTGGAATAATACCTAAAAGCATAACTCTGACCATGTAACTTAAGGCTTTATATCTAGAGCCTCAAGAAAGATGGATGCCATATGCCATTCTAGGCTCTTCATGGTTTGCCTTTTCTGCCTTTGCCTGTTCTCCTCTGTGGCCTTCTTTATTTTGTAATCTATAACATAATCTTCCCTGCCCTTCCTTTGCATGATTTCTGGACTGTGGCATGTGGTTATTGAATGTTTAACAAGTGAGTAAGCAAATGAATATAGCTTATAGATAAGAAAATGAAGACCAAATAAGTGACATTTTAAAGAACAGAATCCTGCACTACCACTGAAGAGCTCTGGACCCAATACCTTGGGAGTTTCTTAGAATGTGGTCATATGCTAAAAATGAGCAAGATTACTGTCTGTGTCATTGATTTCATTTCACTTTAGCCATTCAAGTAGATTGCCTATTGACAAGTCATTGGTGTTAATTAACATTGAGTATAAAATCAAGAGGGAAGGGAGATGAAATTGGGTATCTTGGCATCTAGTCTTTAAAAAAATCAGCTTTGTTGATGTTTATTCCCTTTTTTGCAAAACAGAAAACATATTGTAAGATTTTCAACAAGGCCGGCGCCACAGCTCAATAGGCTAATCCTCCACCTAGCAGCGCCGGCACACCGGGTTCTAGTCCTGGTCGGGGCGCCGGATTCTTTCCCAGTTGCCCCTCTTCCAGGCCAGCTCTCTGCTGTGGCCCGGGAGTGCAGTGGAGGATGGCCCAGGTGCTTGGGCCCTGCACCCCATGGGAGACCAGGAGAAGCACCTGGCTCCTGCCTTAGGATCAGTGCCGTGCGCCGGCCACAGCGTGCCGGCCGCGGCGGCCATTGGAGGGTGAACCAACGGCAAAAGGAAGACCTTTCTGTCTCTCTCTCTCACTATCCACTCTGCCTGTCAAAAAAAAAAATTTTTTTTCAACAATTATTTTATGCTTTAAGGAAGAAAGCTGGTGAATGCTAACAGGCAAGATTAGACCTTCATGTAGTTTTCTAGAAAAATGATGCTGCTTTTAAACCTGGGTGATTGTTGTCTCACAGGATGAATTTGAATATAGAACGTCTTTATGACAAATTTTCCAGATGTCTAGGAAAGAATTACACTGAAAAAAATAAGAGAATTACACTGAATTCTGAAATAAGTTCTCAACTATTGATCAAATGAGTTTACTAAAGATTTAGAATCTTAAGAAAAACATAACTATCTGAAAGGATCTGTTACATTCAATTCCACAAGTTTTAGTTTATTGCCAGAGTATTTAAAAGTGAGAAGTGTTTACTTATTTCAAAGTTTAAATTTCAGTGGTAAAATCAGCTATGGGTTTGATCCATAGTCCTTAATTAAATCCTGAGTATATAGTATTTGAGAGAAAAGTGGTTTATTAACTTTATAAAATATTTATAAATACTTATATTATAAATTATATATATTTACATTTGAATATATTTATATGTAAATATATAATTTAAACACATAAATAATTTATATTATAAATTATGTATTTTTAAAATATTTATAAATATTTGAAAGGCTGAATTACATACATAGAGAGAAGGAGTGACAGAGAGAGAGAGACTTTTCATCTACTGGTTCACTCCTCAAATGGCAGCAATGACCAGAGCTGAGCCAGGCCAAAACAGGGAGCCAGGAGCTTCATCTAGGTCTCTCATATGGGTGCAGGGTCCCAAGCACTTGGACCATCCTCTGATGCGTTCCCAGTCATTAGCAGAGAGTTGTATCAGAAATGGAGGAGCCAGAATTCCATATGGAATGGCAGTGTTACAACACCAGCTCCTACTAACATTTTAACATAGTAAAATACCCAATTCATTAGACTGAAGAAATGAGGGACAATCTATATTGAAAATAAAATCATTTACCAGATTCTGTCCAAGTTGCTCGTTTTCGGGTCCAGTTCTCTGCTGTGGCCCGGGAGTGCAGTGGAGGAAGGCCCAAGTGCTTGGACCCTGCGCCCTCATGGAGTCCAGGAGGAAGTACCTGGTTCCTGGCTTCAGATCGGCACAGCCCACGGACCGCAACACGCCTGCCATAGCGGCCACTTGGGGGGTGAACCAATGGAAAAAGGAAGACCTTTCCCTCTGTCTCTCTCTCTCTCACTGTCTAACTCTGCCTGTCAAAAAAAAGAAAAGAAAAGAAAATCATTTATACATGGATCAGCTCTTTTGTAAAATGAAAGTATTGGGCTAATCATCAGCTCATTTTCTATTTAGGAATTATAGTTTCTGAAAACTATCTTTCTGACTCTGGGACTCCTCTAATTGATTGAAATATCTTTTCTATAAGTATCATCAAAACTTCACCTTGGGGTACAATGTTCATCAGCCATTCTGTTTTTTGAAGTTGTTCACATCATAGGTTAAATAGATGATGTGCATTTGAGTTTGCTGCAAAAAATCCTATGGAGCACCTATCCGTACTTACAAAGCTTAGTTGAGGACAGCATTGAAAAGAAAGGAGAAATAATTGGCTCCCTACATTTCTCTGTGCCACCTTCATGTTTAATTTTTCTAAACATAATGTACTTTCAAAAGAGAACTGTTATTTCCCAAATGATTAGAAGCAAAGAGAGCTTTTGCAAAAGCAGTCTTTTCAAGGTCATAATAATGAACATTTTAAGAAAATAAACTCATAAAAAAGTCTAAGTGTTTCTAATTCACATTGTTCAAGATTTTCACAAATATTTATTTAGGGTCCTACTATGTGCCTAACACTCTGTTAGGAGCTGGCTTGCAAAAACTGAATATGATATGATCCTTGTCTTCTGGGAGATTCAAATCTAATTTGCAGAAGTGTGAATGGAGGAGGAGAATGGTTAAAGGTGGTTTCCCTCAGGAACTTAGAGCAGAAACATAGCGAATTGAAGAAGTTTCTCCAGAGAAGCAGATGGAAAAGAAGGGGTAAATGAGCCAGGTATTGCTGGTGGAATGAATCAGTCGCCGCAAAAATATAGAGTATGGAATCTCTGGAGATTGGAGACAGGACAGGTAGGCAGCCTCAGGCAGGTGAGATATACAGCACTCAGCCAGCGGCGATGAAATCAAGCCGGAGAGGAATCCTGGCAGAATTTGTGTGAGGGCTCATAAGCTATGGAAGCTATGAGAATGCAGGTAGAGTTCTAAGCTGGAGTCTCATGACCAGATTTCACTGGGAGGTCACTCAAGTGTTAGATTAAAGCTAGATTATGGATATAATAAGCAAGATTCATTGTAGCTATCATAGTATAAAGGTAAAAGTTCATTGACAATGGCATGAAAAGATGTTTATTTGATGCAAAATCTTTGAAATCCATGCATATGAGGGATCTTCAAAAAGTTCATGGGAAAAAGTATGCATGGATTTCAAAAGTTTTTGTACCAAAATAAACACCTTATTATTCTATTTTTCTACAAATTTTTTTAAGTTTATCTGAAGAGTATTTGTTATCTCTGTGAACTGTACCATGGGTCTGTTTGTTTTTTGTTACTATTTAGCTTAAGAGACATCCAAGTTTATTTGTGGATATTTTTAGATCAAAGTGTTGTTGTTTTTCATT